CTCGTTATAGAAAGTGGTCCTCAAGGTAGACATACACGACGACAGGATGAAGCAGAAGACCATAAAGGCGGTTTCCACCCTCTCAGGTTTCCCCCACTCTCTCAATGACCCTCTGTTTTTCCGTCTTTCCCTTGTTTTCCATCTTTCCCCTGTTTTTCCTTGGACGAAATCAAAACTCTTCTGGTATTACAGGGATTGATTCGATCGCCGTGGATATGACGGAAAACAAGATGACGGTGATTGGCAGCATGGATCCGATCGATATAGTGACCAAGCTGAAGAGGCATTGTCACGGTGAGATTCTGACGGTCGGACCACCGCCCGACCCGAAGAAAGAAGAAGAGAAGAAGAAAGAGGAAGAGAAGAAGAAGAAAGAGGAGGAGGAGAAGAAGAAAGAGGAGGAATCCAAGTTGCAGCAGCTGTTTCACCATTACCACTACAATCCTTATCCCTACATGGCGGCCCAACCGGTTTACAGTCATCTCCACCCGAATTATAACTACCGAGTGGTAAGTCCCGACGACAACCCCAACGGCTGTGTAATTTGCTGAATTCCCACAAGATAGAGATGTATATCGATGCAGATAAGAATTTTGATTTCTTAGATTAGTGGGAACTGAAAATTTTGATAAACCCACTATGTAGAAGAATTGACTATAGTCTGGATGGATGCAGAGAGGCGGTAACTTTTCCCAGGGAGAATTTTCTGTTCCTGGGTTTTTCTTACCCATTTTCTTGGATGCCAAGCATAAGTTTTGATTGGCCTAGAAGCTTCTCCGTTCCATTGTTGAGATTCAATGTTTGCGACCTCTGAAACAGAGTCGCTGTTGATTTTCTCTTGGTTGAGTTTGAAACCGATGATGGGTTCTGAAATTTCTACTGGGTTTAGTCTCAGCCTGGGTCAATTCTTGAGTTGCGTGGCTCTGCAACTTGGGGGGGAATCGATTGGACCGGAACTCTGTTTCATTAGTTAAATGATTGTTGATTAATCAGCTTAATCTGCCATTTCCCCATTCTAAAACGGGATTAGGATTAAAAGAGCCTGCCTTGATTGCACAACAATTTGTTTAACAATGTTAATTATCGTTTTGGTTGCTGACGTCGGAAGAAGTCTCTATACTTCTCAGATTTCTTTTATCCTTTTCTGTTCCTCTCCATTTTTGGTTCTTAGGATTCAGCGGCATCAACAAGCTGTCATTGTGTGTCAATTTGGGTGGAAACAGTGAAGGATAAGGACCCGTTTGTCAGATCCCAAACTGGATTAGGACCCGGTTGTAAACTCGATTTTGGGACGTAATTAAGTGGAAACATTTCCAACTTGGAAATTTTATTTCTCTTTTATACTGATTTGGTAATTTTAAGATTGTGGGGGAAAGGGGCGACTTGAACTCCAAGCCACTATTAACTCGAATGGGCAATTGATTTAATAAGAGGTTGTTTATTTAGTAAGTACTAATTTACGTTAACACTTTTCTGCCGAATATTATATCGTATTTCTTGTTTCCTTATGGTATGAATATCATGCATTTTGTACCTGGTATTAGGGCTGGGCATGCGGGCGGATCATCCGCGGGTTTGGGCCGACTCACCCGCATTTGACCCGAATTTTGTTAAGTGGGTGGGTCTGTGGGTGGGTGACGGGTTGCGCTGGGAGCCATCCGCCGGGTGGTGGGTGGGTTGTGGGTGAGTGTGCGGGTGACCCGCTCAACCCAACAGCAAAAAAATCAAAGTCGTTGGCGCTAAAGAGAGGAGAGTGGAGACGTTAGATATAAACCCGGACTGCTCCTGGAGTTTGAACCTCAAAGCCAACCTTCCAAATAGAGATCCCCTCTTCTTCCCTTTACTTTTTCCTCTAATTCTTGTGCCTAGATCAACGCTCTTTCCTTTGTAGAATTATTTTCCTTAGTTCCTTGCACCTAATAATCGTCTCAATCTGTAGAAAACTCTTTCATAATAGAATTTCTATCCAATTTAAGAACTAATTCGACATTTTTTTGCCCTATTTCAACTTCTGGTTTCCCTCGATGATTCTCTTCACCTATTATCATGTCAAGTTGACTCCTTTATATTATATAAATTGTGATGTGGGTGAACCCACAAACCCACCCGCATCATCCACCATCCGCCCGACCCAACCCGAGACTAAATGTGGGTGGGTGGTGGGTTAAAAATTATCAATCCGTTTAAGCGTGGGTGGGTGCATTTTATGGTCAAAATCCACCCGACCCACCCAATGCCCACCCCTACCTGGTATAACTCCATAATACATGTCAATTATATATGTATTGTTTAATGCTTTTGGTTTATTCTAAAGTATTTAACAGTTCATCCATTTATTTGCAACGGGATATAACTGATATTGGAAACAAAACAATGTATTCTGACGTTTTATTTATATATGTAAGAAAATAAATATTATTTTAAAATTCAGGGACACCACATTACTTACCACTTAACATTATTTAGTTAGGGTATCAAAAATTGGTAACATTATTTAATTAATTACCTTACTTGGAACCTTTGTTACCCAATTGATTTCTTTAGGGTCACTCTTGCAAAACATGGCAAGTATACCCCCGTCCACACGGCTCAAGATAGGGTGCATAACATCAATAACCAAATCTGGACCCTTCATTTAGAAAATTCAGATCTAAGGATGGAGAATTAAAGACTATTTTTATTTTCACTAGCTTTCTTAATTGACTCATATCTTTTTCGTTTTAACTCGGATTTTAATTTTTTTTGCACAGATGGAACGAGTTCACCGTGCTCTACAAAATGAGATCAATTTTCAATATTTTTTTAAGAAAAAAAAATTCTGGCCTCTCGGTACCAACTGCATACCATATGGTATCTTCTTCGTTTTTAATTCATTTTTGAAAACGTTTGCACAGCAGGGATGAGTTCATCATGATCTACTGGATCTACAAATTTCTGGGTGAACAAATTATAGGACCAAAAAATACCACACAATACCATACAATACCACCCTGGTACGGGGTGGTATTGTATGGTATCTTCTTCGTTTTTAATTCGTTTTTGAAAACGTTTGCACAGAAGGGACGAGTTCATCATGATCTATTGGATCTACAAATTTCTGGGTGAACAAATTACAGGACCAAAAAATACCACACAATACCATACAATACCACCATGCAGGTACGGGGTGGTATTGTGTGGTATACAATGTTAAAAGTCGTAAATTACAATTAATATACTTCTACTATCATGTATTCAACCATCCTGTATTGGTTTGTTCATACCACCATGGTACGTTTTTCAAAACATAGGTATGCTTTTATTTCAATACCAGTCAATACCATATGGTATAGGCTGGTAAAAAATGGCTCAATTTTTTTTGTTCGAAAAATATATTAAAGTGGATATCATTTTGAAGAGCACAATTAATCTGATCTAACTGTGCAAAAAAAATTAAATTTCGACTTAAAATGAGCGAGAAATCGTCCGTCAAAGATTAAAAAGGGAAAAATTAAAGATTTTCCATGAGAGAGAGGATGCTGATGTGGACGGGTTACTCATGGTTACTCACCATAAGATTACTCACCTGATCCATTCCCCGTCCACACCAACAGAAATCAAAGGTTCCTCTTCCTATTCGGGAGCAAAAGATTCTGGATGTGAAAGAAAGGAAATTCTCAATAATGCACTCTTTTTTTTTTAAGGGAAAGTGATCTAATGTCTCTAGAAACAAAAAACCAATTGGGAGATTTATATCATTAGTTCCATGCGTACCATGTTATAGTGTAGCTTATGATGCCACAACTAATCCTCACCGTTCTAATCCTCTTGAGGTCTTTCCTATTGGCATTGAGTCCCTAAATGGAGTAATGAACATAAACCTATGTTGCAAATTGCAATACTTGATGGATTGAGGGGAGGATTAAAATGGACAGCGCGAGAAAAAGAGATGATTCCGATGATGTAATCACGAACTAATAGGATATTGCTATTCGTTGCCATAAAATACTTTATTCGTCGCCCTAATTTTATTAAAATGACTCAAATATCCTTATTAATTCTTATCTTTCAAACCCGTAGCTGGAAGCGCCGAAAGGATTAAAAACCCATCTCCGACGAGTTGGGATAGGTCAAAACCCGTCCCAATCTCGCCGGAGATGGACTTTCAATCCGTCCGGCACATGAAAATAAAATAAAAAACTAACCTTAAAACCTCCTTCCTCCTCCGTGTCCTTCCTATTGCTCAGTACCAAGAATCCGGCAGTGGCAGTAGGCAAACGGTGGTGGTCGGGTTTAGGTGGGCATTATGTTCATCGAAGGGGGACTGTCTCTTTCAGTGGCGTAGCCAAACTTTGTGTTCATTGAGGTCCTTAAAAATTTACTAATACTAATGTATGTGTATCTAATGAAATTTGAGTTGATTGAGATCCTTATGTGAGCTAAGATCGACGAGATTATGGGGTCCTAAACTTGAATAATCGTACACAACTAAATGTATCGAAAGCTTTTTGTTAACCAAATTTTGGCCAAGTGGGGTCTTATGACCCCTCTCCTTGACACTTCCCTCTGCCACTGGTCTCTTTTCCTATCCCGTCGTGGAAGAAGTAAGTTTTGTTATCAAAGATGTGAAGCAAACTGACGAGCTTTATTGAATGAAATCAAACAAATCTATACATATGTTTTGCCTTGAAACACGACATCCACTAACCATTACTAACTATCTCAATCCATGAGACTAGCTAACAACCTAACCAACTAACTTATGCCCACGACTTATTGTTTCTTGACCAAGACACTGACTCTAACATAAACCGCAACAACTTAACCAAAACAGGGAGCTTAACTAAAACATTCAAACTTGACTTGAGACCCGCCAAAGGCCAACGTCTCTAAGCAGCCCAAGTTTTACTTTCACAACAACATTTCCTCTCCTTATTTCCTCTCCTTGAACTGAAGCCTGGTAAGTCTTCAGTTCATCTTCCTTGCATCTTCATAACTTCATTCATATCTCTGACTCCAAGCTAGTTTCTCAGATAATAAAAAACCTCTCCTTTCACAATCTTTGTCATGATGTCTGCAACCTGTTCTCTAGTACCACAACAAACCAATTCAACAGTTTCATTCTTCACCAAATCCCTCGGAAAATGGAACCTCACATCTATGTGCTTGCTCCTTCCATGCAACACTGGATTTTTTGATAGCTTGATGGCTGAGTTATCACAAAATATCTTGGTTGCTACCTGCCCATTCGAAGTCCACCCCATCTGTTCAAGCATCCTTCTTAGCCATACACATTGAGCAGCACAACCTGCAACAACAACAAACTCGGCCTCTGTGGTTGACAAAGTGACCACTGGCTGCTTCTTGGAAGCCCAGGAAACAGCACCTCCAGCCAAGAAAAACACATAACCACTTGTACTCTTCCTATCATTCATATCACCTGCATAATCACTATCAGTGAACCCCACCATCCTATTTTTTGTACTTCCCTTCTCATACCAGATGTCATGTCCTAGAGTCCCTTTAACATACCTAATTATCCTTTTTGCTGATAGCATATATTGCCTGTAGGAGATCAGATCCCATATACCTGCTCAACAAACAAACTGGAAACATAATGCCAGGTCCGATGGCAGTCATGTACAAAAGACTACCAATCAGCTGCTTGTAGTGAGTGGCATTGGCTGGAAAGCCATCTCCTTCAGCATATATCTTCACTCTAGGAGCCATTGGGTTCTTAACTGGTTGCAATCCATACTTCTGAGTATCTCTTTGGCATACTTCTGCTGGCCTAAGAAGATACCTTCCTAATTCTGAATCACCTCTACCCCAAGAAAGAACCTCATCTTTCCAAGATCTGTCATTTCAAATTCTTATTGCATAGATGCTTTCAATTCAGAAACCATGGCTTCACTGTTAGATGCATACATTACATCATCTACATAAAGGCTTACTAATAACAGATCATTACCTCTTCTTTTTATGAACAATGTATGTTCATATGTGCATCTTTCAAATCCAACAGCTTCAAAATAGACCTCTATGCGTGAGTACCATGCTCTTGGAGCATGCTTCAAGCCATAAAGATCCTTGTTGAGTTTATAAACCTTAGCTTCCTCACCTGGAACCTGAAATCCTTCAGGTTGTGTCACATACACATCTTTAGTTAGATCACCATGTAGGAATGCACTCTTGACATCTAGCTGATAGACTGTCAATCCATGAGCAGCAGCCAGGGCCAGAAGTGTTCTGATGGTGTCCCATCGTGCTATAGGTGCAAAGACTTCTGTGTAGTCATACCCTCCTTCTGTGCATACCCCTTGACTGCCAGCCTTGCTTTATACTTTTCCACCTCTCCTAGCTCATTTAGCTTAGTTCTGAATACCCATTTGAGTCCAATTGGAGTGATCCCTGGTGGCAGAACTACTAGTGTCCATGTTCCATTCTTCTCAATTGCTTGGATCTCCACCCTCATGGCTTGATTCCACTTCTCATCCTTGACAGAATCCTCATAGGTTACTAGATCATCTGTGATGGCCACCATAGCCATCCAATCTGTTTGAACGCATCCCATTTCAAAGTCATTGAAACGAATTGGCAATTTTGAAACTCTAGGAGTCAACTCTACCATTGGCAGCCCAAGAACATTAGCCTGAGTTGTTTCATCTTCATCCTCCTGTCCTGATGATGTTGATCCAGCTGAGCTACCAGTTGGGGTTGAACCTGAAACACGAGAAAGATTACTAGTTGCTGCAGGAGTTGAGATATCCAGTGGAACTGGATTTTCTGGTGTTGCAGGAGTCATTTCACTGTCTAAATCCACTAGATCATCATCACTTCCTTCCCAATCAATCCTGGTGAGAACTAGAGTGATTGAGTTCCATTCCCAGCCAGGCTGTTGTCATCAAAGATTACATCTCTGCTGACAACAACCATTTTGGTTATGGGATTATAAAGCCTGTATGCTTTTGACTCAACTGAGACTCCAAAGAATACACACTTAACACTTTTGTCATCGAGCTTCTTCCTCTGTTGGTCAGGGATATGAACAAATGCAGCACAACCAAAAATTCTGAAGTGCTCTACTATGGGTGGAAAACCATACCAGAGTTCTTGAGGAGTTCTTCCCTGATTAGCAGCTGCTGAACATCTATTGAGAATATGAGTTGCCCAATTGACTGCCTCAGACAAAAAACGTGCTGAAACTTTTGTATCTTCCATCATGCATCAAAACATGTTAAGGATGGTTATGTTTTTGCTCTCAGCCACCTCATTCTGTTGAGGTGTGAGAGCTACTGTAAGCTTCCTCCTTATCCCCATCTCGTCATAAAAAGCCTTGAATTCATCATACCTGAATTCTCCTCCCCTGTTTTTTCTAAGACACATGATTGGTGTGCCTCCTTCCTTCTCAACTTGACTCTTAAACACTTTAAATGTAGTGAAACTTTCTGACTTGGCAGGTCGGAAATACACCCATAGTTTTCTACTCAAACTATCAATCAAGGTAAGGATGTATTTTCCATTGTTGGATACTACAGTGATGGGGCCACACAAATCAGCATGAACCAATTGTAGCCTCTTTGTGGATTGCCACTGACTTTACTTTGGAAAGGACTCAAAGGAGGCTCTATGGTGCTTCCCTATCAGAAAGGTGGAGCAGACTCTTGGATTGCCTTCTAACACAGGTAATCCCTTCACTAGATCCTTTCTTTGTAATCCAAGTAATCCTTGATAGTGGAGATGTCCAAATCTCCTCTGCCACAACTTCAGTAACCTTAAAACACTTATGGTTGGCACCCTGGCTAGGAATGGCAATGGGGCAGGTTCGGGGCGGGTATCTCGATACCCATACCCGCCCCATGGCAGGTCGGGTCCAGGTCGGGTAATTTGTCATGGGGCGCGGGTCAGGGCAGGTCGACCCAATGGGTATGTAATTTATATGAAAAACATTAGAAATATTCGTTATTTTCATTAAAATACCAAGAAATAAACCATAATATGATAAAATGTAGTTAAATTATTGGAGAAGTTGAGTTTTCCACTAACTTACAACTTTATTATAGCTAAAAATATGAGGTAATAAAAGGAAAATCCTAAGTAATTTGACTAAGATTACATGTAAATTAGGCAAGAACGGATCGAGAATGAGGCGGATTAGGGCAGGTCGGGTCCATGAGAGGTACCCATGCCCGCCCCGCCTACGCGGTGAGTCAGACCCGCTCCAAAATAGGTCAAACAGGTCGGGTAAAATGGGTCAGGTCGAAATTGCCATCCCTTCCCTGGCCAACTTCACAATGCAGCACAAACAATCTATTGGTCTTCATAGCAGTTTGTAATATGAGGCCCTTATCTTCATGAAAGATCTTGCATGTTCCATCTTTGATGAGAAAAGCCAACCCTTTTTCCTGCAGTTGTCCTATGCTTACCAAGTTTGACTTCAAGCCTAGGACATAGAAGACATCTTGTACTACTAGTGAGATGTGCTTCATGTTCATCTTGACACTCCCTTTACCCTGAACAACAAGCTTTGTATTGTTACCTAGCTTGACTGTGCAGGTAAAGTCAGTATCTAGTGAGGTGAACCAGTCTTTGTTGCCAGTCATGTGATTGTTGCACCCTGAGTCTAGGAGCCACCACCCTTCACTTTGATTTGCTGGTGTGTTTACATGACTCATGTGCAGCTTTAGAAGCATCAGATCATCTTCCTTCTGTGATTCACTAGTTTTGTAAGCCACGAGTAAAAACTCTTCCTTCATATCTGGATACTGATCTCCTTACATCACAGGGGCATTAGTGAAATGAGCCTGTTGACCATACAACTCAGGACATTCATATTTAAAGTGTCCCAGTCTTTGACAATAGAAACACTCAAGAGTGTCCCTATTCTAGGATCGACCACCTCTGCCTCTGCCTCTTCCTCTGAATCCACCTCTTCCCTGACCTCTTTCACCCCTACCTCGAAAGTCATGACTGATCTTGAAAGCTTGATCATCCCCATCTTCCTTTTTCACAAACTTCTTCTCATGAATCAGTAATGAACTTTGGAGATCACCCATAGTAAGACTATCTATGTCTTTTGATTCCCGAATAGAATACACAATATAATTGAATCTTTCTGTCAAAGTTCTTAGGATTTTCTCCACAATTTTTACATGAGTTACCTCCTTCCCACAGTTTCGTATTGCATTTGCCACAACCATTACTCTACCAACGTAATCATTCACAATCTCACCTGTCTTCATTGCTAGCACCTAAAGGTGGCAATTGGATTGGATTCGTGGATTCGTGGATTGGATTGGTGGATCCATGGATCAAATGGATTGGATCCAATGGATTGGTGGATTCATGGATTGGATCAAATGGATTGGTGGATTGATCCATGAATCCAAATGACATCAAAGGCTTGGACCAAAATGTAAAATTTGAAAAGTTTGGTACTAAAATGTCATAATGAAAAATTTTAGGTACCAAAATGTAATTTTCCAATGATATTTTTTTGTACAAAAATATAAATTTTAGGTACCAAAATGTAAAATATAAAAAATATAGGTACCAAATCGTAATTTGCCATTTGGATCCATGGATTGATCCATGAATCCACCAATCCAATTGGATTTGGATCAAATGGATTGGATTTAAATAGATTGGATTAGGTGGATAATTTGGTGGATGGATTGGATTGGATTCATGGATTTGGATCCTAAGTGCCACCTCTACTAGCACCTTAAAGCTTATACTCATAGTTTGAAGTTGAGCCCTTTTCACTCTAGGACTCCCCTGATACTTTATCTTCATAGAGTCCCAGAGCTCCTTTGCAGTGGCCTTTTGAGTTATGATTTTCAGGATCGTCTTCACAATAGAACTTAAAAAGGTAGTTCTTTGCTTTCAGATCCTTCAACCCCAAATCATTCAGCTGCTTGCTTTGTTCAGCAGTCAGTTTGGCTCCAGCAGCAGGTGCTTGGACTCCAGTGGACACAACATCCTAGAACACCCTTGGATCTGAGAAGATTCTCCATGACCAAACTCCAGTGGTCATAGTCACCATCAAAGCGTGGAATACACACTTGAGCAAATCCAAAATTTTCACTCATCTTGCTAGTTTCTCACTCACTTGATTGACCTCTCAATCTCTCGTGTTTCACTCACCCTACGAAGCACCCTCTCACTATGCTCTCTCGTGTTTCCCAAACCCAGAAATCAATTCTCACACATATCTCACTCATGATGTTTGCATAGATTGCTGCTTACAGTATGCTAGGGCTCTGATACCACTATGTTATCAAAGCAGTGAAGCAAACTAACGAGCTTTATTGAATGAAATCAAACAAATATATACATATGTTTTTCCTTGAAACACGACAGCCACTAACCACTACTAACTCCCTCAATCCATGAGACTAGCTAACAACCTAACAAACTAACTTATGACCCCACGACTTATTGTTTCTTGACCAAGACACCGACTCTAACATAAAACGCAACAGCTTAACCAAAGCGGTGATCTTGAACTAAAACATTCAAATTGGACTTGAGACCTGCCAAAGCCCAACATCTCTGAGCAGCCCGAGTCTGATTTTCACAGCGACAAAATTTTCATTTTTCAAGCCAAGATAGGGTTGAGAAAGGGAAAGCACATGAGGGTTGTAGATAGTTCATTAATTCACATGACAGTCGGGGCACTCATATATATAAGCTTCATTTATTCTGTTATGAGGTTCATTCATAAGCTTCTTTTGATTCCAAATTTAATGTTCTATTGGGAATTAAGAGTCGAGCTCTGCTGTGCCTAAGAGGCTAGATTTTTGTGAACCCAGATGCATATATTTCAAGTTTCGAATGTGGAAATGTGTTGTGAGCTGATGAATAAGGAATTGTTTGTATAGAGTTTTGATTAGAAATTGGGGTCACAGGGTAAGATTGTCAATTTGGCGCATTTTAGGACAACAAAATTTGAATTTTAGGGCGACGAATAGAAATTCATAACTAATATTGTATATTAGCAACAAACACACAACATTAATAGCAGCCATTCTTCTACCCAACTACATATGATTCTTCTACATCTAGTTTTAGGGTCACTAAAACAGATATAAAAAGAAGAATCATATATCCTTAGCTCACACTTGCTAATCATGATGTCATTTTCTTTATTATTTACCGTGATTAAACTACTTCCCCCGGTCGTGGTTGTTAACTTCCCTAGTTAGCTAGCTAGGTAAAAAACTTTCACCCCTCCCCAAGCCCCTCTTTTAATCAAGTCCTGGCTCGAACCAACGGCGACTGCGGGATCGGCGACCTCGGGGACATAATAAACTCGTCGCAAATCCTTCCGGAGAAGCTCAACTTCAATATGCTCTGCACGCAGAGCTTCCTCGCCGGCTTCATCGCCTCCTTGTTCTTCGCCACGAAAGCCCTGATCCTCCCCAGCGCCACCTCCATCGTCTCGTCGTCCATATTCGCGAAGCAAACCCGGAACCAACCCGACTCTGAGTAGTGGAACGAACTCCCCGATGAGAAGTTGAGCTTCACCTCGTTGATTATAACCTGCCAAAGCGCCGTCTCCGCCTCCACGATCTTCTCCTTCAACAATCGCCGGAGATCCATCAACACGAACAACCCCGCGTTGCTGGATCTCAGGCACCGGATCCCGACCCGACCCAACCCGCCCGTGAACGCCCCGTGCCACTCCGCTAGCCTGGCCCGGTTCGCCCCGAGAAACTCCTCCACATACTCCTCGTTCGACAGCATGGACCCGATCATGTGTTGGGTCTGGGCCGAGACCAGCCCAAAGCTCGACATCTTCCACACGCACCACACCACGAGTCCACGACGTCGTTGTATGAATAGACTATCCCGACCAACAGGCCCGAAAAGCCCATGTCTTTTGACTAGCTGTAGACTATGTGGATCAGGTTTAGGTTGAGACTGTTCTTGCCGCCGCCGCTCCTCCGGTCCTCGTCGACGATATCGGCCATGATGACGTAGTCGGGCTTGCCTAAGACGGTGGCGGAGTAGATCTCATCGCAGATCAGGTGGATGTTCTTCTCGTTGGTGAAGGCGACGATGCTTCTCAAGGTATCACCATCGAGAATCGTCCCCAGTGGGTTGGACGAGTTGGTCAACAGCAGCCCTTCGACTCGAATGTTGTTCAGCTTCGCCATTTCGTAGGCAGCTTTCAGGTCCTCCATCCTCAGCTGGAAGTTGTTCGCGCTGTCGCCTTCGATCGGCACGAGCTGGATTCCCGTCCTCCACCGAAAATCACGATCGAATCTGTCAAACAACAAAAGGAAGACGAAATTTAGCAAAAACATTGTTTCATAATCATAGATAGTGACGCAGTTTCGCACCATCTCTGTTTACGGTTTGACAAACAGGATGACTTTTGCTAAGCAACCCACCAATAATTCAGGCTGGACCAACCAACAAACAAGGGACTATGGGGGCGATTAAAATCCTAAATACCAATTTAAACTTGTGATGCCGACTTGTTTACAGAACAACTGTCCCTCTTTCTGACTTTTGAGGAACCCTTTTGTTTAATGGTGTTCAGAGTGAGTGATGGCACTGTCAAATGGTTGAATATTGGTGGCCCGACAAGAATAAATATATAGGTGAGTGTGTTAGGTCAATTGTCTGCCCCAGTGGATGGAAGGGAATGGGATAGGATGAGAGGAACAGAGGAGGAAGAAGAGAAGATGACCCAAAAAGTCTAAAGTCTAGCTTGAATCGAATTAGACTGATTTAACTCATAAAGATGATGCACTGTTCCGTCAAAATGGAGTATAATATGATTTGAGTACTTTTATTTTTGGGGAAAGTGAGAGGAGACAGAGTGAGCTCCGGTGAGCAGAAAGCGACGGTCTCGTTGTAGAAATTGTAAAGAGGAAATGGATTTGGAGGAAAAGCTCAGCAGTATTCTGAGCTCTCTGTAGCTTTTATAGCTACTTTTGTAATTAACAGAAAAGTGAAACGTGTCCTTACATCATTGGTTCTTTAATTTAAACAAACAGTAAATTAACGGCTAACTGAACTAATCTAAAACGCTGCCGTTCCCTTTAGTTCTTCAGCAAAGGTTCTTCTCCTTTCTTCTACAACGACGCCGTCTTCATCCATCACAATCCGCAACCAGTGAGGATTGCTACACTTCTGCATTTCTTCTCTGTCACCCCCCTTCAAGTTGGTGGTGCACCTGTGATCCCCAACTTGCTCATGATTTCTCTCATTCTGAATCGATCCAAGCCTTTTGTAAATATGTCTGCTAACTGCTCTGCAGTTCCCACATGCTGCAACTTTATCAAACCAGCCTTAATCCTATCCCTTGTAACATGAATGTCTATCTCGATGTGCTTGGTCCTTTCATGGAAAACAGGGTTTTCTGCTATGTGAATAGCAGACCTGTTATCACAATAAACAAGGATAGGAAGAGGTACCTGCACTGTCAACTCAGAGAGCAACCTCTTTAACCACTCAATTTCACAAACCAGATGTGCCAAGGCTCTGTATTCAGCTTCAGATGAAGATCTTGAAACTGTTGTTTGCTTCTTTGTCTTCCAAGTAAGGAGGGAGGAGCCAAGGAAGGTACAGTACCCTGTAATGGAACGTCTGGTGTCTGGACAGCTTGCCCAGTCTGAATCACTGAATCCAATTATCCTTTCCTCTGCTGTGCTGCTGAAATGTATTCCCTGATCTGGTGAAGACTTCAAGTACCTTAGCACTCGATAAGCAGCCTGCATATGTTCCTCACAAGGGTTCCTTTGGTATTGACAGAGTTGTTGCACTGCAAACACTATGTCTGGCCTTGTGATTGTGAGATAATGTAGCCTGCCAACTAACCTTCTATATGCTTCACCATCCTTCAGTGGGGTTCCCTTAGAACTCAACTTCACTTTTGCATCAATTGGAGTTTTACATCCCTTTGCTTCCAAATAACCTGTGTCCTTCAATAAGTCCACACAGTACTTTCTTTAACACACATTCAAGCCCTTCTGATCCCTGTTAACTTCTAGGCCAAGAAAATACTTCAATGGTCCTAGGAGTTTCAATTTGAACTCTTTGCTCAGTGCTGTCTTCACTTGGTCTATGTCTTTCTGTGCATCACCCCCAACTAAGATATCATCAACATACACCAATATCACAGTAATCCTTCCATGTGTCCATTTAGTGAAAAGAGAATAATCAGACACTGACTGAGAGAAACCCAACTTCAACAGGAAACTGGTAAGCTTTGCAAACCATTGTCTGGATGCCTGTTTCAGCCCATACAATGACTTCTTCAACCTGCAAGTCATCTTCTGGTTCCCTGTTGAATTTACTTTCAGTCCAAGTGGTATCTTCATATAAACTACCTCATCCAGTTCTCCATGTAAGAATGCATTAGATACATCCATTTGTTCCAAAGTCCAGTTTCTCAGACTTGCAACTGCTAGGAAGGTTTTAACTGTGTTTATCTTAGCCACTGGGGAGTATGTGTCCAAAAAATCTATCCCATAGACTTGTGTGTAGCCCTTGGCCACCAACCTGGCCTTTTCTCTTTCTAGGGATCCATCAGGCTTGAATTTGTATTTAAAGACCCATTTGTTCCCTATCTCTTTGACATTTGGAGGTAGTGGGACAACATCCCATGTCTGGTTTTCCTCCAGGGCATGTAACTCTGAGTTCACAGCCCTATTCCATGCATCAGACTTAATTGCTTCATAATATGAACTAGGCTCTACTAGATTCATGATATTCAATGCAAAAGATCTATCATCATGACTCAAGCTATCCACATTCAGACATAAAGGATGTCTACTGCAAGAGTTTGATTTCCCACAGTGACCAAAAGAAATGCTTGAATCTAGTTCATAGTCCTTGTACTTACTTGGAAGTGTAATTTTTCTTCGAGGTCTGTCCTCAACCACTTGATCTCCTAGATTCTCATAATCAACATCAGCTTGCTGCAGCAACTCCTGGTCATCTGAATCAAAGTAGTCATAGTGCTCATGCTGACTCTGAGAACCTGTTGGGATACTTGCAGGAGACTGGTCATTAGTGTGACATTCAGACTCAGACTCAGGTTCCCCCCTTTCATCCATGGATGGATGAAACTGAGGAGTGGGGATATGTAGACCAGGAGCAGGTGATGATACCACCTGTGGAGGTGTTGAAACAGAAGCAGTAGCATTTGAATTGGTATTGACATCAGGACAGTGGAAAGGGAGTATTTTCTCATAGAAAACAACATCCCTAGACAGGAAAACCTGTTTGGTATGGATATCCATAACCTTGTAACCTTTGACACCTGCTGGAAACCCCAAGAACACACACTGTTTAGCCCTGGGAGCAAATTTGGTTCTCCCATGAGCAAGGGTGGAAGCATAACATAGACTGCCAAACACCCTTAAGTGAGCCAAAGAAGCAGGTTTTTGAAAAAGAACTTCAACTGGTGATTTGTTTTGTAGAACTGGAGTTGGTGTGCGGTTGATTAAGTAGACAGCATGTAAAACACATTCACTCCAATACTGTAAGGGTAAACCAGATTGAAATTTCAAAGCCCTGGCCACATTAAGAATGTGTTGGTGTTTTCTCTCTACCCTCCCATTCTGTTCAGGGGTTTCCACACAAGAGACCTGATGTTCTATTCCTTCTTGTGAGAAGTAATCACACATTTGAAACTCTTTGCCCTGATCACTTCGAATAGTTTTAACTGTGGTACCAAATTGGTTCTTAACCAAATTGCAAAAACCTTGAATCAAGCCCCTTACTTCACTCTTGTGCCTCATCAGATATATCCAAACACAACGAGAATAATCATCCACTATTGTAAGAAAATACTGATAACCATCATAGGAAACAACTGATAAAGGTCCCCAAATATCCATATGCAGCAAATGAAACATCTCAGGTGCTACATTGGTACTAATAGGAAAAGGTAGTTTGTGTTGTTTGGATAAATGGCAGACATCACAGTGTAATGGTTTCTGTTTAGTTACATCAGGGATGAATTTGGAAAGCAAAGACAATCTATCATGACTAGGGTGTCCTAATCGCCAATGCCATAAGTGTAGGTCTTGTGGTTGGTAGTTGAAGGCTGAGGCAGCTTGGTGAAAGGTTGGTGAAGAGAAAGGGGTAGGACTTTGAGGAAGAACCAGCTGGTAGAGGCCTCTACATTCTCTTGCCAAACCAATCTTCCTCTGGCTTAGAAGGTCCAGGAGTTCACAGTGATCAGATTGAAATAGTAAGGAAATGGGGTGGTCATGGGTTAATTTACTAACTGAGATAAGATTGAAGGAAAAGGTAGGGACTAAGAGAACATCATAAAGTGATAGGCCAGTAGGTAGTTTGACTGTGCCTATACAAGTTACAATGACTCTGGTTTTGTTAGGTAAATAAACATAAGTATCCTTAACTTCTCTGTAAGAAGTAAACATGGTAATGGAACAGGCTATGTGATCTGAGGCCCCTGTGTCTATTATCCACAGGTTGTAATCACATGTTTGATCTAGGTGAGAAGAAAAAGTGACATGTTTACCTGAGAAGTTAGGGAATGGTGTAGGGTATTGTGAGGCTGTAAAGGCTTGGTGGTTGATGGATGGGGAAGTAGGTGGTGATGGGTATGCATTAGTACCAATTTGCAGCAGGTTCCTGAGACGAGCCATTTCCTCTACTGTGAAAGTAAATGGAGTTTGGCTCATACCTTCAGTAGTTGTATTACCTTCAGGATGATGATCACCAGCTGCACTTCCAGTACCCTGAGCAACAGAACCAGCAAATCTTGGAGTACTAGAACTGGAACTCGAACTGGAATTTGAATGCCCATCTTTCTGTTGTTCTCCCTGCTTCTTCTTCAACCACCAGCACTCATCAATGTTGTGATTTGTTCATTTGCAGTAACGACAATACTTCTTACCCTGACTTGTGTCTGCAGAACCCCTCTGTTGTTGCTGACTTCCTGCTGCTAGAGCCAATGACTGGTTCTTCTTTCCACTTCCAGTCACTGCATCTGCCTTCAATTTTTGTTCATGCTGGAGCAGGTCATCAACCGCTTCAGAAACACTGGGTAGAGGTTTTTGCATCAACAGCTGGGTTTTGATGACTTCGAATTCCGGATTGATTCCTCTCAGAAAGCGAATCAAATAATCTGTCTCCTGCTTTTGGACAAAAGCAGCTACTGCAGCACAGGGAATGGTCGAACCTGGAGCACAAGTACATGGAACCACAGGACAAAATTCGACATACTCATCCCATAATCCCTTTATATCAGTGTAGTACTGATTGATTGACTTAGTTCCCTGTTTACAAGCCAAGATCTCATCCTCCAGGTTAGCAATTCTCATGGCATTTGGCTGTCCAAAATGCCTCTTCAACTCTTCCCAAAGTGTCTTACAATTACTGTGATTCAACACTGCCCTTCGCAGTTCTTTGGTCATGGAGTTTTGGATCCAGCATAAGACCACAGTATTACAAGCATCCCAAATGCCAAACATATCTGAATCTCTAGAAGGCATTGCAACTGACCCATCTAGAAAACCCAGCTTGTTCTTCGTTTTAAGTACCACTTGCATAGATCTACTCCACATTGTATAGTTTGTACCATCAAACAACTCAGCAACCAGAGATTGAGCCATATTTTCGTTTGGATTGAGATAGAATGGGTTACCAAACGTGATGACCTCTGTTTGCTGCTGTTGTTGTTGACCAAAGGAGCCAAATTGAACTCCACTGAGAGAAGAAGCTCCACTGTTGTTGTTGCCTCTTCCTTGACCACCAGGCGGCGGAGTCGACTGCTCACCCGACATTGTTGCTGCGCAGACTCAAACCCTAGGGTCTGTGCTGCTCTGATACCATGTAGAAATTGTAAAGAGGAAATGGATTTGGAGGAAAAGCTCAGCAGTATTCTGAGCTCTCTGTAGCTTTTATAGCTACTTTTGTAATTAACAGAAAAGTGAAACGTGTCCTTACATCATTGGTTCTTTAATTTAAACAAACAGTAAATTAACGGCTAACTGAACTAATCTAAAACGCTGCCGTTCCCTTTAGTTCTTCAGCAAAGGTTCTTCTCCTTTCTTCTGCAACGACGCCGTCTTCATCCATCACAATCCGCAACCAGTGAGGATTGCTACACTTCTGCATTTCTTCTCTGTCACTCGTGAGCTCCGGTGGCTCCGCCGGCCATAACAATCCTGTCTGGGTCGAAGCTCACTCTGTCTCCTCTCACTTTCCCCATAACCAAGGCCAATTAGTAAAAATAAACTAAAAGACCCGAGAAGGGAAAGCAGGGGAAGTAGGAAATGAAAAATAGGGAAGCAGAAGAAGAAGGGATGGTGTTATTACATTTCGGAACTTTGGCAATCCATGGTAGTCCTGAAAGATGGCGACGTCCTTGAAGCCACGAACACCTTCGGGGTTGCAAATGGAGGCAGCAGGGTTTTTTTTCAGCCATTCTTCCGCCAGATAGAAGCAGAGCTGGTTCTCGACAAGACCCATCTTGATGATGCCGTCGGGGTTGTTGTGGTGGTGGTAGGGGTCGCTGTCGTAGGCCTTCCAGCTGTCGAAGTAGAAGTTGTTCTCGCCGTGGACGTCGCCGATGGCCATCTTCGAGAGCATCTGATTGTTGAGCTTGAACACCATTTTCTCTTCTGGGTCAGGGGAGATGGGGAAAAGAAAACAGAGCAACTCTGTAGCTATATGTAGGGGATTAAGGTGCGGAAGTAGGTAATCGCTTGCGCTGCTAATTGAGACTTGAGGTTTGGTT